ATGGATAAAGAATGCAATGAATCCTCTGTAGACCATGAATTAAATGGAAAACCAACTGGCAATTAGCTGGTGCTTATGAATGGTGGGAGTACCTAGCCTGAATGTGTTGGGCCAAAATATGCTACCCACAGTTCTCCCAATCTCTTCGAAAATTGAGTCAATGGGAGTAGTAGATTTTCTGGATTTTTTTGTTTGTGTCTAGGCTTAACTAGGTCACAATGGCTGTGCATACCACATTGTAAGGACCTCTCGAAGGCCCTCAAATCACTGGGATCCCACTAGTAAACCCCTGGCTCAAAGAATGGTCTCCCCAGTAGTCTGGAAGAAATCCTGAACTTCTTGGGTAATCTAGGTCCAATTCATGTGACAAGATGACCATCTGGTTCTGACTGCAAACATTAAGACTGACCATCTTGGTCCACCTTCGATAGAGCACGATAAGCAGAGATTCGGACATAGCATAATCCCATTCCCTGCACCTGGAAAGAAGCAGGCTAGCCAGACTGCCCAAAAGCGACTGCCGAGAAATTTCACAAATCCTATCTGCCATCTTGCATATAGAGACAGCCCTGCTTATACCCAGGAAGACGTCAATCTGCCCATTGGGCTTCTGGACTGTTTTACTAAATCAGGGTCACAAAGGCTTATATGTTCAGTTTGATATACAAAAAGTCCTTTCTTTCTTTCTTTGTTTTAATGGCTGTAGGTGCTACATACTCTCTAGTGAACCCAGGTGTACCACTCCTATTATCTTACTTTGTCATCCAAAGTCATTTGAGTTAGGACCACAAAATATAGTGCCCTTCTGTATAGCTTTAAGAAAAAGACAAACCTTGGCCTCATTGATTTTAGCCAAGTTTCACCTTAAATAATGAATCGTATTTCTATTTTTGGACATAGACCTTATTTTATTTTTCTGAGAGAATTCAATTATTTACATATGTGATTGATCACATAGTTCTCGATATCCTTTGAAAGGGTGAAAGGAATGACGAAGTGAATCAATTAGTTTACAAACATATTTTGATCAGCTGCTACATGCCAAGTGACTTGTGGCTGGTAAGGAAAAGAGGTAAGGGAACTCATATTTATAACACATTTAATATTTGCTAGGAACTTGTGCTGAGCACTTTATGTGTATTATCTGTTTTGGTTTTTAAAATAATCTTCAGGCCAGGTGCGGTGGCTCACACCTCTAATCCCAGCACTTTAGGAGGCTGAGGCCAGGGGTTCGAGACCAACCTGGCAACATAGTGAGACTCTGTCTCTAAAAAAAAAATTTTTAAATTAGCCAGGTACAGTGGCACACAACTGTAGTCCCAGCTACTCGGGGAGGAGGATTGCTTGAGCCCAGGAGTGTAAGGCTGCAGTGAGCTATGATTGCCCCACTGCAGTCCAGCTTGGGAGACAGAGTGAAACCCTGTCTTTAAAAAATAAAAATAAAAAATAAATTAAATAAAATCATCTTCAGAGTTACCCTATGGGGAATAGGTATAGCATTGTCATCTCATTTTACAGCTGAGGAAATTGAGGCTTAGAGAGCTTAAGTGACTTTCCCAAAGTCACACAATTAGTATGTGGCTGAGCAATGCTTCAGATCCAGACCTTTCTGACTCCAAAGCCCATGCTCTGCCCACTCCATTATGCCTGGACCTGCATTCAAGGAGCTATATGTCTGGTTGAAGAGAAAGAGAAACTGCACAAAAACTTTCATATTAAAATTTATCCTTATTTTGAAAAAATTGGGAGCTTTATAGCAATTTTCTCTAGGGGATCTAGGCAGAAGGGATACTAAGCCCGCAAGACTACTGAATTATGTGTTAAATAGTGTAGGCCTCAGAAAGAAGGCTGAAAAAAACCACCATAGGAATATATGCTGAGTATATCTTACATGGTTTTAAGAATAAGGATTAACTTCCAAAACAGATTTTCTTAAAAATGATAGTAAAGGTCAAAGCTTCCACAATAATAGACAGGATTGCAGACTGGAGACTTGAACCTTATTTGTCTGGTCATGCTGTCATGAAGCAGTAGTATTTTATTAAGGCCTTATTACTATACCTTATTATATATATATATTATGTTCACTTAACTTTCACAATAAGTAAATGAAAGAATATTATTACCCCGATTTTATCAATGAGGAAACCAAGAAGTTAAAAAAAAATACCTAAAATCTACATGACTACTAAAGGTTAGCACTGAGACTCAATCCTAGTTCTGGCTCCAGAGCTCATGGTCCTAATATGCTCCCTTCCACACAATAATAAATGGAAGCTACTATAATTGTGTTTTAGAAGCAGCCAAAAAGAAAGTCTGCATAAGAAGTAATTAAATAGGCTGGGCGCGGTGGGTGGCTCACGCCTGTAATCCTAGCACTCTGAGAGGCCGAGGCGGACGGATCGCTCAAGGTCAGGAGTTCGAGACCAGCCTGAGCAAGAGCGAGACCCCGTCTCTACTAAAAAAAATAGAAAGAAATTAATAATTAATAATTATCTGGACAACTAAAAATATATATATAGAAAAAATTAGCCGGGCATGGTGGCGCATGCCTGTAGTCCCAGCTACTCGGGAGGCTGAGGCAGGAGGATCGCTTGAGCCCAGGAGTTTGAGGTTGCTGTGAGCTAGGCTGATGCCACGGCACTCACTCTAGCCTGGGCAAAAGAGTGAGACTCTGTCTCAAAAAAAAAAAAAAAAAAAAGATGTAATTAAATATCAATTCATAATAAGAGAGAGCTACTTGGGTCTGGATTTTTTTCTCTTAGGCTTCTTCATTTTATTTCTGAGCATATCTGTTTTATGAAGAGAGCTAAGTTGAATACATTGTTGATTTGCTTAGAAAAGTTCATCTTTAGGAGTATCTTTAACTTCTTAATTGCCCGCATGTTAGAATAGATCTAAGGTTTCTCACTCATGGCTGTAGAGAAGAACCCACCTCATAGGTGATCCCCTCTGTGGGCCTATCACTTCAAGGAACAGTTTAAATTAAAAAGTGCAAGAGAATACACAAAGAGTGCAATGCGCACCACCCAAAGGTTGGACATATTTGAAACTCGGACTTGGGGGGGGGAGGGCAAGGGCAACGTACGTAACCTAAACATCTCTACCCCCATAATACGCTGAAATAAAAAAAAAAAAAAAGTGCAAGAGAGATGTCCAGTCAAGTTCTTTAGCTACACCAAACTGCACCATGTCATAGTAGGATTAATATGAAAAATAATTAATGGTACTGCAAGAGAATAAGGAAGAAGCACCAAATGAGAGCAAAAAAGTAGATGTTATGGCAGTTTGTAGGAGGGAGAGATCTGCTGCCTCTACAGCGCTCAAGAAAGAGAGCAAAGTGAGATGATTAAGAAAGGTTTTGAGTTGCACAGATCTGGGTTTAATCTACCTGTATGACCTTGAGCAAGGTATTTGACCTCTCTCAGTCTGGTTTCTTCATCTATAAAACGGAAATTTTGAGGCTATAATAAAAGTAAAATGTTTAGTATGGTGCCCTGCTTGTTCTTACTGTAAAATAATTATCTATTTACCAGTTCCCTCCATTAGACTGTAATTTCTTGGAAAACCAGGTCTATGTCCTGTTCCTCTTTGTGTCTCTCAGCCTTTCCTACAGTGCTTAAGTTCACCCCCATCCCTGATGTCTCCTTGCGTGCAAAGGGTAACAGTAACATCCATAATCAGATTGCTCCTGCCTCTCTCCACCCTGGACACAGTCCACACTAGAAGTGAATGGTTTCTACCTGGTTGGTAAGGCAGGAAGGGCTTGTTGTGTGTCACTGTTCATGTTCTCTTAGGAATGAATCCTCTACAGGAAGCATGCCATCTCTCTTCCTCTCTTCCATACTGTAAATCTTACATCCAGTGCCACCATGACTGAGTGGGCACATCTGCTTAGTAATATGAAGTGCATTTCCACATAAATAATGAAGGGTAAAAGGAGACCTGGCTGGAAAGGTAGAATGGAACCAGATGGTGGAAAAGATCATGTTATACCTTCCTGGCATGACATTTCAGCAGATTCCTTAAAATGTATGGATATTGATGAAGAATGGAAAGAGTCTATATGACTAAGCCCCAACTAATAATTGCTTTTGTTCTTGGTATTTGGATCTCTTTCCTGTTTGGAGGAGGGGAGTGTTGTTTTGTGGGGGGTTGTTTTGATTGTGTTGAGGAGGTAAGGCTGAGGTTTCAACATTTTAAATTTTGTGCAGAGTTCATTTTTGTGTCATTTTTTAAGTTATTTTATATTAAGGTACTGATAAACTCAGCATTTGAAGGATAGACCTGCTAAGTAAGTTTTTCTCCAATTGTGGTCCAGGGACCCTCTGCTTCAGAATTATCTGGAGGACTTTCAAAATGCAAATTCCTATGCCTCACCCCAAATCTGCCAAACCAGAATCCCTAGGGGTGAGGCCTGGGAATATGATTTTATCATTCTCCCCAGGGAATGCTTGAACTCATTGTATTAAGGGCATCACCTGCCAACAGACAGGTGAATTCAATTTAGATGTACATGGAAGAGCAAACTGTGGGTTTGTGTGTTTGCGTGTAGTTACTGCTAAATCAGATTGTTGGCCATTCTGATTACTGCCGTGGTCCTTCTGTCCTACAGAGAGGGCATCCCTGCTCACTCACCCAAAGATACCATCAAAACCCCCGCTGGGCCCTTGTATATGTGGCCATTTTGTGTCTTATTGATAGGTGGTGTGAACAAAACTAGAAAAATAAAAGACAGTTTTAAAACCTTAAAAAAACAGAGACAAACACATGCTTTAAAAGAACAACAAGAAGAACCTTTGCAATTCTTCCAAAGACATAACTTAATCAGGTTTTTCCTCTTCTGGTTGTAAGTGACTGGAGGTCCTAGACAGGAACTGGGACAGAGGAACAGTCCAAGGCATCATTTGCTAGCTGGCATCCCACCGTCCTGCCTCCCTTCCATTTGAAAGTGTGGGGAGATGCTCTGCTTAGGCCTTTTGTTTTGTTTCTCTTTGTAGATCATGCAGCAGATGAGTGACCACCGCTACGACAAACTCACTGTGCCTGATGACAAAGCTGCAAACTGTATATACCTAAATATCCCCAGCAAAGGGCACGTCTTACTGCACCGGACCCCAGAAGAGTATCCAGAAAGTGCAAAGGTAAAAACCATCCCTCTGGCCGCTGTGGCTGGGTAGGCGTCCCTGGGAATTTTTTCACGATGAAGTGACAAATAAGGGCTTCTTTTTCCTCTATACATATCCAATCATTAAGAAAGCAGAAAGGATAATGTAATTTGGGGCACTAGGAAAGTTTATTTAACTCACTTTTCTCATTCATAGCATTGGTTACTCATGTATGCACAGTAATTGAGGCGATCATGCCTGATATTCAAAGCTTTTCAAATAAGTACTCAGATGGCCCAAGTCTCTGCCCTCACTCTGATTTACATTTCCACACTCAGATACTCATTAAGTATAAAGACCTACAATTAGATGATCAACTGTGTCATTATCTGGCAGATCTGAGCTGCCCCTGAGAAAGAGTCATTTGTTTCTTATGGAAGAAGAGTGTAAGTGACGCAGAGTGGTGGGTGCTCATTGTCAGGGCTGCAAAAAGAGGAAGCCGCACATCCTAGGTAGCAAAAAGCTCTTTGTTGAAAAGACAGAGCAGAAAGAAATATGGTGCATTTGCAATCAGCCAACTGGTCTCTCCAAGAGTCTCTGCCTTTGGGTTCCTACAAGGGAATTGTACTGGATCTGGAATTCTTTCTTGGTCTAAGAAAATCTTCCTTGTCTTTCATAGCTAGGCCCTGTGCCAAGTATGCTGCATGTAGTATCTTATTTAGTCCTTGTAACAGCCCTATCGGGGTGGTGTGACTATTCTAGTCCCACAGAGGAGTAAACCAAGGTTCCGAGGGAATTCACTTGACTGAAATAATACTTTGAGTAGGTTGACAGAACTGGGTTTGGAACCCTTTTCTGTCTGGCTCCAGCACTCTTATTTAACCACGGTCCTGAAGTTTAAGGAACACAGTGCTTCCTAAAGAAGCACAGTAGATCGTTTTTAGGCAGTGCGTTTTTAAGTGATTTTGTTTTTTAAAATGTGCTTTGTTTGATCATCAGAGAAAAATCTGTGGACTGTTAATTGGAAGTTTTGGCACGTGCTTTCTATTAGCGTCAAAAGATGCTAATAAAATTCACATGTGAAAAATTTAAAAGCAGTTTGACCTGAAATACTTAAATTATATATCTATCACATTTTTTCCAGTGGTATTGGTAAGGCAAGAAACATGAAAGTATAGTTGAGAGGGTTTTAAAATGTTGAAAGTTACATTCAGACTGAACACACGGCCACCAACTTTCATGTACCACTTAATCTAGCAATGACAACAGGAGAGGAAAGGCGTCTCTAGCAATAACCACATTTCTGACACATCTTTGGCTTTAAGGTTAAGGCGTAGAGCTAGTGGTTAACCAATTGCTACCAGCTCTGTGTGGCTAGCTGTGAACATGTGTGTGGTCGAAATTGCATGTATATCTTGGAGTTTAATGAGTAAAAAGCCTAGATGTGCAAATGAATTGATTCTCTACACCTGGGGGTAAAAAAACAGGCAGAAATGTAATCCTTCTCTCCCTTTCTCTCAATTCCCACTGTAGATTTATGAGAAGCTGAAGGACCATATGCTGATCCCTGTGAGCAATTCTGAACTGGAAAAGGTGGACGGGCTGCTCACCTGCTGCTCCGTTTTGATTAACAAGAAGGGAGACTCCTGAGCCACAGAGTCCCTCCCTGGTAGCCGGCAAGACCGCACAGGCAAAGCCCACGACTCTGTACCCACTCCCGTTGTTTCCTTGACAATCTACTGTGCCACTGTGCTACTAACTCTTGTTTACAAAAATTTAATTTCTAAGTTTAATTGCTTCGTTCTGCACCCCACCCTCCCTCCCCTCATGGTGGTACCTAAGCTGTGGATTTGCTAAAAGAATTAAGCAACCTAGAGAATATAGAGCTAATGAATGATTGAAATGTGATTAATAATAGTAAGGAAACACTCATTTTAGTGTTTGTATTATCAGTGTGAAAATCATTTCGTTGCCAATATATTCCGAAGAATGTCTTCTTGATCAGTCAGATAAGCTCCATCTTTTTTCGCTATGTCGTGAATCATGTTTGGTTCCTGTGAAATTCCCTGATCCAGGGATCCTCCTCCTTTCTCTCTTTTTTCCTTCTGAACTCTGAAAACTTTTTATCCAGTTACTTTCTTTTGCCTTTCCCACTTCTATCATAGCCACCTTGACCTTGGGTAAAATCCAAGGTCTTGCCTTCTGAATACCTTCCTGCAGGTCCACCCTTCCTGCCCTTGGTCTCCTCTGCCTAGGCCATGTCGCCACAACCAACCCAACCCTCCCTCCCACCCCGGGGCAAACAGGCTCCTCACTAGATCAAAGTTGGAGCTGCTGTTTGGGGGAGTGTTCACTACGCAGAGGCACATCCTGACAGGGTTTGCCCCAGAGATCTGAATTCCAGAAGTGGGGCACCACACCTAGGAAGGTAAATTTAGCACCAGAAGGTTGCTAAGAGATCAAAATCAAGAAGCTTGCAAACACCCCATGGGCACAATGTCTTAGAAAGTCTTTAAGTCACAGTCCATGAATTTTGTCTCATTTACTGGCCATATATGACATTGGAGGACCTTATTTTTTCCCGTCAGCTCATTTCTGTTTCCCCTTACCCTGACTCACCCTGTTTCCAGCCTTCTACCCCTTGCAGTTATCCTGGTCTAGCAAAGATATTTCTTTCAAAAGCAACAATACATCTAAAAGTGGTTACTGGTGGTCTGGTGTAAGCCAGAGGAAATAGCTCCTCATGACCAAGGAGCATGTTCCGGAAGTGATCACCTTGATGCTTGAAACCAACCTCAGACAGTGGACAATTCTACTTTGAAATATCCATGAATATTTACCATGGGATTCAATTAAAACTTCTTTCTTCTCTAGCCTTCAAATTACACAACTTTCAACTGACATGAGTCTCTTACAAAGAACAATGCCAAACTGAAGGAAGAGATCATTCTTTCACTTGCATCTGAAAGAATCAGCCTATTAGCAAGCCAGGGAATGGTACTTTCCAAGGAATAGTGACTGATCCAGGCATGTTATCAAACTTCCTAGTCATCTCCACCTTTCCTGTATTGCCTGGGGCTTGTTCAAGATTAAGAATCAGGGAGATTAAGAAATAGCACTTCAAGTCTTGTTCTGCTCACCTCTATGTTTGCAATCAAACATTCCTTATGTTGGTGACTGAGAGACAATTATCTCCTCATTTCATCTCCCCTCAAGCAGATGGAAGTGAGAAACCTCTGAGAAAATCAAGACATCCTAAACCACTATCTGTCTTTGTCATTTATTTTATGAGTTTTGTGCCAGAAATATGAAAAAGTTCCTTCTCCTCCTTCTCTTCCTTGTTGTTTAACTTTAAAATTCATATCACATGCAAAATAGAATTTTGTGCATCCTGTAAATGAAGCACATCTTGGTCACTGTCATATTTTGAACCATCTCATCATGGATGAGTAATGTCTTTTTCCCGGAGAGAGAATGAATGTTAGCCACGTGCCCAACTTAACAAAGAAAAATTGTTCTGGGAAGTTATGGTTGCCCTTTTCGGTTAAATCTGGCCCTACACTGGCAGAAGCAGAAATTCTCCCTGTGAGAGCTCAGCATCTCAAAAATAACCACAGGAAAAATAGCCCAATCAGCCTGTTTAAGTTTATTGGCATATAATTTTCAATATCTTTACTTCTATCATCCCAAATCAAAGAACTGTCATCTATTATGTATAGTCAATTGCAAGTGAGTAGATTTTTCTTTTTAACAGTTTGTTCTGCAGAAGGCTGTTTTTCATTTTTCCTTTCCTTTGCTTCTTTCTCTCTTTTCTTCTCTTTGTCTCGAGAAACCACTTAGAATCTGTGTGCCTCTTCTACGTTTTATTCTGCACTGCTACCTTATCTACTCGGCTGGCTTCTTTGGATTCCCTATGTGATATGATGATGTGAAAACCTAAATTGGTATTACTCTTTTGATGTTCTCATTAGCATAATGTTATCTTCGCAAAGGAAAGATTCCCATCTTGTCCATTGTGACTTATAAGGATGGATAAGCTAACAAACTGCTTTTTGACATTATAAAGACATGAGGAATTATATCTAAATAAGTAAAAGTTAAGTCAGAATTACTTGGTCAATATGATTCAATTTAATAAAAGGATGATATAGAGAAAATACATTATTTAGCATTATTTCTTCAACTACAATGAATTGCTATAGAAATCAGCAGGCAGATCTCTCCAATGTGTATTGATTGCTGTTTTAAGCTACTGTGAACAGATTACTAAAGTCATCTTTTCATCTCTAAGAGGGGGAAATAGTCTGTAGATGAATAATGTGACATATAAGAGTTGCATGTTAGTCTTTGTAATTATTTAATCTTTAACATTCTACAGACCTCAGACATGATTTCAACATGGTGTTAGACTTGTGCATTTTATTTTCCTAATCATCTTGTTCCAGCCAGTGTATGGTTATCCACTCTGTGTGCCAAAGCCAGTAATGCCTTTCATGGTCCTTTAGTCCAGAGGAGATCTGCACCGATTTTAGACTCTTGCTGTCCCGATCCTACATGTATACCAATCACGATGGAATAAAGTGTGAGTTGTACTGTGGTCAACAGTGTATGTCTCTTTTTTGCAACAGAAACTGCCATGGGGAATGAAATCATAATTTCTTTGCTATCAGGCATGAGATGTTTCTCTCTTGTCCTATGGGCTATGAAATTGGAAATACTGTACCTGTAAATCAACTGCCATCAAAGCTTGGGTTATAATGATATTCGAAGTGACATTTTATACTTCAGGCACTTAAAAAGTATGCATGTTTTGCAGTCTAGGTTGGAAGAGCTTGATTTCACCTGTGCTTCTCCTTAAAGAGCATCCCATCTTCCCACTACTACTGACTGTATTCAGCTCGTTATGTGGTTCAGTTATAGAGGCAGGTGAATGATTTTTTTTCTTCATTAATGCAAGAGTTTGTTGTTTGTTTTACAGTAAGTATCTTTTAGGAAATTTGGAGGTTTTTAAAATGGGGCTTTTTTATAGCATTTTTTCCGAGCTGAATTGTTTTCTTTTTCTGATTACAAAAATAATAGCTGCTCACTGTAAAATTGAATTCAAACAATATCAAAATGTTAAAAAAGAAGTAAAGAAAAAAATTACCCAAAATTTTATCACCCAGAGATATCCACTATTAACATTTCAGAGAATATCCATATATCTATAAATAGATACAGACATAAATATGGAATAACTTTACATAATCATGCAGTTCTGTAGTCTGCTTCTTTCACTTAGCAATATATTGTGGGCTCCTTTCCATCTCGATAAATATAGATCTACATCATCAATTTTAACAGCCCTTAATATTCCACAACACGGTTGTCGAAGCAGCTCTTTTTAAATTATATGGAGTGTTGTATCACAGATGGTCAGTATGCCCACATTACTATTAGCTGAGGGTCCTCAATCTATCAAAAATGTGCTGCTTATAAGTTTTCACACATCCCCAGAGTTAGTTCCATCTGGTGTATTCTTATCATAACTGAATGGTATGTATGAATGCTCACCAAATGCACAGATGAGTACTAAAATTCCTTGGGGGAGGTATTTGATTTAATCACACCTTCTCAGTTGATGTTGCATTGATTCATTCTGCATTTTTTTTTAAGAGACAGTGTCTAGCTCTGTCACCCAGGCTGGAGTGCAGTGGCCATATCACAGCTCACCACAGCCTTGAATTCTTGAGCCTAAGCAATCCTCCTGCTTCAACCACCCGAGTAGCTGGGACTGCAGGTGCATGCCACCATGCTCAGCTAATTTTTTTTTAATTTTTTATAGAGATGGGATCTCGCTGCCCAGGCTGATCTCGAACTCCTGGCCTCAAGCAATCCTCCTGCCTCGACCTCCCAAAGTGCTAGGATTACAGGCATGAGCCAGCACACCCAGCCCGTTCTGCATTATTTAAGTTGGCATTGGCATGGGCAGTGAAGCTAAAAAATGCCAAATGCCACCCCACAAACCTGCTCTGGGCCCCAATAAGAAATGACCCTCCACCTAAGTGCTGGAGAACAGTGTTCCTCACAGAGCAGAAAGGGAGCTTCTCTTTAAAGGAAGAGTTGGCAGGAGTTCCCTGACTGATGTTCCTCCCAACCTTCCAAAAGAATGAGGGAAGGTAAGAATAAGAAAAATATCCTTTTGAGACAAGCTGCAGATTCCGGAAATGGGAATTTTGCTGAATGAAGAATTTAGTTGACAACAATTTTAGGAAAGTGAGCACATATTTAACAAGTGCCCACACTCTGCCAGGTTCTGGAATGCAGCTCCTGTCTTTCGAGAGCTGACGGTTTGGGAGGAGCAGGGGAGGACGACTACACAAGTGCATACAACAGAAGGTAAGAACTACTGTGGCCATTCCCAAGTTGAGGAGACAAGACAGGAATCGGGGTTTGATCTGGGCTTGGAAAGACAGCCCTAGCTTCAATAGGTCAAGATGGGAGAGCAAGCTAGGCTTAGGGGACAGCATGAGCAAAGGTGTGGGGGCGGGAGAGCACAGTGTGCACCCCAGAAGCCGGTATTTGTTGAGCACCTGCCATGTGCCAGTTAACTCTGCTAGGCCCTGGGGATACACTGGTGACAGTCTCTGCTCTCCTGAAATGTACATGCAACACAGAAGACAGACATGAAACAGTTCCAGCTAGTGTGATGGACATTATGAGAGGAGAATGGGGTGCTCAGAGCAGATAGGGACAAGTGGATTTATTTGGCTGAAACGTGGAATAAATATGAGAGCATGGTGAGACAGTGTAGGTGGGAACGTCGAGGGCCTTGCCTGCTGAGTGAGGGTATTTGAACGGAATTTGGCAGTCTGTGAAGATCCCCTGAAGACTTTTGGGTCAAGGAGTGATATTATTGGAGCTTGATCTGGCAGCATTATATAGGGCAACTGGGAACTAAGAAAGACTGGTGTTTCTCTAAGTTTAATTTCTCCAAGTTTAATTTGTTATTTAAACATCTCTTCTTACCACCAAAATGCAGCCTGAAAGCCAGGCAATTAACTCTCTATATTTTCTTTCCTGAAGAACAGATGAATAACACCTTCCCCTCCCAACTCCAAAGGGACATTTTCAAGGCAAATGAGATAAAAGAACTGAAGGGTTCTTTGGAAGAGAGGTATAGTGTAAATATCATTATCATCATCATTATCCTCATTAACTCCTATCACAGCAAGCTTGGATCCCATCAAAATGTCATCTTCTATTTGAAACATCAATCACCTACTCCAGAAATAACTCAGGATTTTCATCATTGATGCCTCTAGGTTGGCCTGAGAGCCGCTGTGGGGAACTCACAGGTTTCCTTGGTAGCCAACCAGGCTCCTCCGCAGACATACTCGCACTGGGGAACTGTGGCAAATCACGACGTTCCCATCTCCCTTCTCCCTCCAAACACTCATTTCTAACTTAGTGAAAGCTGGGCCACTTATGGCACAAGATAACTGGGGTTATCAGACTTTTAGGAGAACGTGTAAGTGCCAAATATGTTACTGTCACTATAAATAAATAAAAGATTCAAACAAGTATGCCAGCAAAGCACTTGGTAAAATATTGCCTGGACTGGCCAGTGACATGAATGCCTAAAAGCAATAATGGGGCTCTAGGCCTTGGGAAGCCCCTCTATTTATAAATAGAAAGTTTCATTCTTTAGTCATGAACACAGAGGAAGAGTTTAGGTGAATTAACACAGGCCTAAGAAAGTAGCTTGCTTTTTCCTATGCTTAAACTTCTTTCCCCCCAGCTTTATTGAGGTATAATTGACAAATTAAAAAATGATATGTATTAAAAGTATACACCTCGATGCTTTGATATACATATACATTATATACATTGTGAAATAATCATCACAATCAAGTTACTTAACATATCTATCACCTAACAGAGTTATCATTTTCTTTTTCTCTTTTTTTTTTGCGGAGTAGAGAGGGAGGCGGAGGTGGGGAGAAGTTGAGAACATTTAAGATCTTTTCTCTTAGCAAATTTCAAGTATACAATATAGTATTTTTAACTTTAATCACATTCCATACATTAGATATCCAGAACTTATTCATCTTATATGACTGAAACTTTGTACCCTTTGACTGACATCTCCCCATTTCCCCCTTTAAAAGTAATTTTTAAGTTACTGCTCATGGACAAGGAAGCTGACTGATTAGCTAGGACTTTGGGGCAAGAACTCAGAGGACGACTGTTCTAAATTAAACTAGGATACTGTGTGCTATGTGTTGACATTTCCCTCTATCCTGTAAGGGTACAAAGACTCTGCATATTTCACATTTATGTAAGAAAAGCTCAGGAACCAAACAATTTCTGATTCTAAGCAACAGTCTAGCTTTATAGAAATGTTAGCTCTTCTACCTGTGGAAGGAGCTTGTGGAATAAACACTGATTCACGGGTCCAGCAGAGGCTTAAAACTCCAGGGCAGAATGTGAACAAAGTCATCATTTTGTTTACAGGAGACCGAGATGAGTATATGAAGTACCCTAGAGTTAATGTTAGGACAGAAACATGGGCTTTCTTTCTTTCTAGGCTTGATAATAACTGGGGGAGACAGAAGGAACATTGTTACCAGGGCAAGATGCTAACAAGTAGTCTGGTAGGAAATAGAATTCATTCCTACTTGTTTCAAATGAAGAGATTTTGATGAAGGTCTGTTGCAGAAGTATGGGTGTTACAGGTACAAACGAGAGGTGGTAAGACACCCAGAAACCAGCTGTCAGCAGTACTCCTAGACTCAACACAGGACAGGAAATTGTGCTGCAGGATATGGGACAGAGAAGGTAGGACCACGCCCCAACCAGAGACCAGTTTCCAGAGCAGAAAAGAAGCCCCTCAGCTGCTCTGTCTTCTTGCTCTCTGATCCTCTGGTGCTCACCATTGGCTGAACACAATGAAAGATGTAGTGAGGGGCCCAGGGGAGGTCCCCAGCAGAGGTCATCTTTCCAGGGCAGAGAGCTGGCAGAGAGGGCCAGAGGCAGGATCTGGAGAGATCAGAGGATATCCACGCAACGCCACCATGAAAGCGAGCTCTTAGTCTATCAGACAGTGGCCATCACCACCTCTGTCTCACAAGGTAGGCATTTAAATCATAATTCTTGGCAAATTCCTCAGGCACATGCCATTTCTGCAGTCTGGTCCTCCCTCCCTCAACATCAGAAAATGATTGGAGCAAAATTAACAACAGAACATGAGTATGCACAGCATGAGGGTGAAAGAACATTGCATTCCAGATCCATGAGTCCTGGACCTCTTTAGTAAGCACTATGTTAACTCTAAAATTAGAGCAGTCTCTTGGGCACCTTGATCAACAGCTAGTTGCCTTTTTGCAGCATGCCCATGACCTTCTAGTGACAAAAAGGTGTTTAGGATTCTGAAGAATCTATTTTCTGTTTCTCCTTTTGTTTGTACATCCAGCCCATGTTGGCAGACATAGCTGTTTTGGTTTTACTTGGTCATGTTGCTCACGGGAATAATAGTCAGTCTAAACTAATAGTAGGGTGTTCCCCTTTCCTGGGGGTGTTCAAGTAGAGACTAAAGGACCGTGTGCAAGAGTGGTT